TGTCTCACCTAGACAGCAGCCCCAGCTTTCTGAGATCTCTGTACTATTGCCTCTCTACTCCAGAGTGCTACCAAATTCATATCCTTAAAATGTATCCATTCTCGACTTGTCAGTTTCATCATCTGGACCTGTATGTTAGAAAGTTTGTTCTGCTGAGAGTGGCATTAAATCTTAAAATTTCAATGAACTTAAGTGCATGTCATAGCGACTGGTCAACCGGTCGACTGTCAGCTCCCTTGTGGTAAGTGCATGCCATAGCAACTGGTCAACTGTCTGCCCCCTGGTGGTCAGTGCATGCCATAGCGACTGGTTGACCGGTCAGCTGTCTGCCCCCTGGTGGTCAGTGCATGTCATAGCAAGCGGTTAAGCAGCCTTAGCATATTACGCTTTGATTGGTTCAATGGCTGACCGGACGACCGGACACTTAGCATATTAGGCTTTTATTATATAGGATAACATAAAAAAAGGCCAGAGATAGGCAGGTCAGAGCTTGTAGGATAGATCCACAGTCTTCAGCTCATTCTGTTGTGCTGCTCTGCACAGTAGGGAGCACCCTTGTCTTGTGACCTCCAGGACCAAGATGAGTGCCTGAGGTCCAGTAATCACATCTACATTCCAGCCAGCAAGAAGGAAAAAAGAAAGAGGGAAGGTGTATCCTTTAAGAATACTTCTGATAAGTCACAACACTTTAACCTGCATCTTACTGGCTGAAACTTAGACATATAGGCCATGCTTAGTTTGCAGTAAGGCTGAGGAACATAGTCTTTTAACTAGTATACCCAGCTAAAAATTGTAGTTCTTATTATTAGGAAAGAAGAGAATAGACAATTGAGTTGTAACTAGAGTCCCTGCCGTAGGACCCATCCCACCTCTCTGTCAGCCTTGTTCTTCTCTCCATCCCAGGCCCTGCCCGCCCAACACTTGTGTTCTCAACATGTTAATAGCTTCAATAGGCCCTTTCACAGCTCTGGGCCTTTACCTGAAATGCCCTTCACCTTTCTTATCTCTCTTTTAATTATCTATACATCCTTCAAGCTCCAAGTCACTTCCTCAGAGAATTTTTTTCCCTTAACAGTGACAGCACATTACTTCTTACTTGAGCATGTAGCAGTGGAAGAGCTTCATGAACTTACTAATAGTAGTAACAGACTTGGGTTTGAATTTCTTCTTGCAGCTTGAGCTGGAAAGAATAAATATGGAAATTCTCAGCACAAAAATTGTATTTAAAGCCACAGCCCAGATTTCCCTTTTTGAAAGTTTCAGACCTTCATGTTGAACTGTCTCTCAACATTATGACTTAAGGGTTTCACAGGTAACCTCTCAAATAGAACCATCTCTCAAATAGAACTCTTGATTTTCACCTTATTCTCTAGTCTTTCCTGTGCCAATAATGATGCCTCCTCTGCCAACCTAGCTGCAGATGCTGGAAACCTGGAAATAACCCTAAACTCTGATATCTACCAACAGTCTATTAGATCAACTCCAAAATAGGTCTTAAACTGATCCTTTAATATGTATATGTATATTTCAGAGAGGAAGAGAGAGGGAGAAAGAGATAGAAACGTCAATGATGAGAGAGAATCATTGATTGGCTGCCTCCTGCACACCCCTAACTGAGGATTGAGCCTGAAACCCAGGCATGTGCCCTGACCCAGAATCCAACTGTGACTTCCTGGTTCATAGGTTGACGCTCAACCATAGAGCCACACCGGCTGGACTTAAACTGATCATTTTAAATCCATTTCCAATGCTTGCATCTAAGCACTATCCTCCATGTCTGGACTACTATAGGTATAAGCCTGCTGTAATCTAACCTCGGCAGTGTCATTTTCTTGCCTAAAATGGTTAGTGAGCTTCTCATTGTGTTTAGGTTTAACTCCAGAACTCTTAAATCCTAGAAAGCCCCACCTGAATTGACTCCTGTTTGCCTCATTCTCATCTTTTGTCTTGTATATTCCTGCTCACTGTGCTCTAGCCACATGGCCTTCTTTCTCTTCCCTTGATTGTGCCAAGAACTTCCCACCTCTGGCTCTTCCCTAGTGACATTCCCAACCCTTATGTTCCCTTCTTCACTCCTAAACACACCATCCTCATTGTCTTAGCTTAAATGTCACCTCCACACAGAGCCTTTTCCTCACTTCTTAATGTAAATCATATGTCCTTTCCTCTTATTCCTAAGGGACTATTCTTTCCTTTCTACCATTCATCACAACTTATAACTTTATATTTATTGAGTCATTATTTATTGAATATCACTCCCACATTAAGGTATATGTTCTGTATGGGCTTGGACTATATTTCTTTTATTCACCACTGAATCCTCAATGCCCAGTGCTCAATAAATACACATGGAATAAATGAATAAATAAGTGATCTTGAGATTAAACAATGCATTAAATTGGCAACTTTGCTATTCAGTGTGGTGAAATGTAATTGTGGGAAACCTATTAAGGTGATTCACCTTTCTAAACTGGCATTGTGCTTCTTCATATTTATTGAGTACATCTATGATGTTTACCCGCAGGGCTGTAAACTTAGGTTAATTTATTAGTTCAACTCCAAAATGCATCTTTGTCTGAACAAAGCCTTATTTCTGCCAGGATATTCTTATGAACATAGAACCTGAAAAGGTCATGTTCAGGTATGATGTCTGAAAGTCATGATTGGGCCCACTGCCGTGGCTTGCCCTCTTTCTTTGGATACAGGCTGGCATAACCTTTGGAACTGAAGACTTGCTTGTTGTTGGAGTGGAATTTAAACCAACAGTCATAAGATAGAGCCATCAGAAGGCTTTATGCCTAGGATATGGGGTACATTGGAAAAACCCTCACTACCCTGTATTTACCAACTCTTGTGCTCAAATATTAGATATGTAGGTACAGTGTACTTGTTCATGGTAATTCCAGGCTCATTATCTTTCCTGAATTACCTTGTTCTGCAGAACATATTGGCAAAATATGTATGGAACAGATAAAAAACTTGTGTGGGTTTTTCTCCCTAAGAGTATAAGAGGTGTTGTTCTGGAAGCATCCAATGATTTTTTGGAACCCTGAACTATGGTCTAAAATAAAAGATGAACTTGGATGATGCTCCTCTTTAAGAAAAAAAAATAATGTATTTTTATTGATTTCAGAGAGAAAGGGAGAGGGAGAAAGAGATAGAAATATCAATGATAAGAGAGAATCATTGATCGGCTACTCCTGCACACCTCCCACTGGGGTTCGAGCCCACAACCTGAGCATGTGCTCTGACTGGTTATCGAATTGTGACCTCCTGGTTCATAGGTTGACGCTCAAACACTGAGCCCCACCGGTCAGGCTGAATCCCTTCTTTTACTGGTGGACAGCATGACCAACAATGGGAAAGTTATTGTTTGTTTTTTCCTTTTGGTAAACAATGAAAATTTTGCTTTCAGTGGGCACTATGGTAGGTATATTTCAACATAGATGGAAAAGCAAACGGTTGATCATTCTTACCCCAGTAGGTTCAGATCATGTCAGTGTTTCCAGAGTATGCTCACAGTGGTAAAAATTGGCTTTAAGCTGAGGCTTTCTAAGAGGCAGCTGGTCCTTAAAAGAAATTATTTATTTTGGCCTTGGTAATATCCAATTGATGATAAATACAAGTCTCTCTTGGCTCAATGGAGTGGGTCCCACATGAATTGGTTGTGGCCCCCAAAATCCAAAAACTCTAGTATAGTTGGCTAAGACTATTTTGTGGCATGGGGGAAATCTAATGTAACGCATGAAAGTACAAAATATTAAATGTTCAAAAGTGTGTAATTTGCTGCTTTTGTTCATGAGAGGTTTTAATACTTCTGGTACAGAGCCTAATTCTCTTTACTGGGGAGATGTGGTTTCAGTTTTTTGGGTGAATGTGCATTTTATAAGTTTTTTAAGAAAGGAAATTAAACATTAAAAGACTTTAAGTGATTTACTCTTTATATAATGTCACTAAGAAAGCGAGGAAAATCAGGGTTGGCATTTTTATTTATTTATTTAACTAGAGGCCCGGTGCATAAATTCATGCACCAGTAGGGTCCCTTGGCCTGGCCTGCACGATCGGGCCAAAATCAGCTCTCCGGCATCCCCTGAGGGGTGGATTGCGAGAGGGTGCAGGCCAGGCTGAGGGACCCCACTGGTGCACTATAGGGGCTGGGGAGGGACACGGGAGGTTGGCCAGCTGGGGAAGGACCGCAGGAGGGCTCCACGGTGTATCCGGCCCGTCTCACTCAGTCCTGTACAGCCAGATCCCAGCAGCAAGCTAACCTACCACCGGTCAGAGCATCTGCCCCATGGTGGTCAGTGCACGTCATAGTGATTAGTCGACCGGTTGACTGTCTGCCCCCTGGTGGTCAGTGCACATCATAGAGAGCCGTTGAGTGGCCTTAGCATATCATTAGCATATTACGCTTTGTCTGGTTGAATGGCCCACCAGACGACCAGACACTTAGCATATTAGGCTTTTATTATATAGGATAAGTATAATTTATTTTCCACCATTTTGTTTGTTATGGCTGATACCAAACTACTTTTGAAAGTTAACATTTATTTTGATTTTGTTTTTTTTCAGCAGATGTACATAATAAAATAACCTATCTCTATTCTTCATTGTAGGCAGGGACAGTATTTAACATGTAGTGTTTTTGGCATTTTGACACATAGGTGATTAAGTTTAATTCAACATAGTTTGATGCTCTCCATATGTGTGATGTTTAGCATATGAATAGTGTTAAATGGGTAAAATGTGGCCTGCTGAGTGTGAGCATTAATGCAAGTAGGTGATTTGATTGACCTTAGCCAAGTCACATAACCAGTGAGGGCCTGAGTTTCCATTGCCATAAAATGAGTGGTTTGGGGTAAATGGTATCCAAGAATCCTATAGCTCTGAATTTAAAAATCCCATGAGTCTGTATGACTAATACATTATGCCTAATACATTATGCCGAATACATATGCGTTTTATTCCTCCTCTTCTTTTTCTTTCTGTTTTTAATTAAGGTGAAGAGGATGCTGGTGCACCAAGTACAAAAGATGAGAGCACCTCCATGGCACAGGACACAAGCGCTTTACCAGAGAGGTCACTGCAAAGATCAGCAAAGGTCATTGCCTACAGATTTCCCTATTTGTCCAAATGGCTGTCACCTGAGCTACCTGTCAAAGGTCTCTCATGGGACACTTAGGGCTGTAGTTTTAGTCAATTAATCAGAACAGTCAGTGGAAGCAGGGTATTATAAAAAGTAAATCTTTTTTAATAAGTTCATTTGCCTGCCTTTGGATGAAGGGCCAAGGCCTTTTCTTTGTATGTGGGTAAGTTTATTGAAGTTCTGCATTATTATTATTATTATTATTATTATTATTATTATTATTATTATTTTTGCTTAAACCACACTCATAATGTGGCATCTGTGATTTCCAGTTTGGGTTATTTAAAGTGGAGTGAGAATTTAGACACTGGTGAAGGAATCAATATTAATGTTCTAGATTTTTATAGTTTTTATTCTTCATTATTTTTAAAATTAATCCTCACCTGAGGACATGTTCATTGATTTTTAGAGAGAGGTGAGGGAAGAGAGAGTGAGAACTTTGATGTGAGAGAAACATCGATTGGTTGCCTTCCCTACACACACCGACCTGAGATTAAACCCATCACCTAGGTATGAGCTCTGACCAGGAATCCAGCTCTCAACCTTTTGGTGTATGGGATGATGCTCTAATCAACTGAGAACACCAGCCAGAGCTCCATTGTTGTTTAGTTGTTGTCATGCTCATATGTAATTCAAAAGTAAGCTTTTAAGAAGTCTCTTTTAATTTTTCCAAAATGTTTAATTTAGTTATCATAGAAATGAAAACAATTGATTTTGTTGTTTTGCATAATTCGATTTTATTGTTTAATTATGTATGCAGTGGCATGATCAGATATGGGATCAAACACAGCTGACCCCAGCTAAGTAGCTCATGGTGGAGGAAGCGGTACACAGGCAAAGAATGAGGTGGCATAATGGCATGAGGCTTCCTCTGCCCGAAGCATAGACAGCACGTTTAACTGGGGAATGCAGTTTTGCTGCTCAGTCTAGGGAGTTAGTTAGGAGAGTCTCAAGAATGTCTCCTGCATAGTGACATGAGGAATTTCTAAATCATATTGCATACATGTTACCCACAATTCCCCATCCAGTTATCTAGATCTTTATTTTAATAAGCATTTTCAAATCTAACCATGTGACAGGCAGTATGCGAGGTGTGGAAGATTATAATGAATGGAAATCCTGTGGGCTAGGTCTGGCTCACAAACTTGTGTTTTGTTTGACCTGAGCAGTATTTAAAGATTTTTACTTGGTAGCTTACATTAAAAAAAGAAAATTGGAGTGGTCACATAAAAAAAATTAGACTTCTGGCTTCTGACAAAACAAAACATCGGCAGCACTGGGCCACATTCTGAAATGACTTTAGTCAGAGCTGAATAGAGGCAGCTGGTGATGGAACTTGTGTTCTGTAATTTGCTACTGCCCTCCAATGGTACTCTCTCTCTGGCTGGTTTTTGTTTTGTTTTTTGTTTTTTTGTTGTTTTTTTTTTTTGATGGGGGGTGGGGAGATGGAAGGATAGTTTCTTAATAAATTCAAACTAAAATTACAAGCCCAAACTACACTTGTATGGGAAACCTATGCTGTGGTCAAGTCATTTCTATGACAACTAATGTATGAATCATAAGTAATGTCCAGCTGCTTTATACACTTTTCATGCTGTCAAATATTAAAACTAGAAGCAAGGACTTCTGGTTCAGACAAGATGCCATAGATTCATTTCTCCTTGCTCTTCTCTACTAAGTACAACTATAAACCCTGGAATATAACAAGAGACAACATAGGAAGAATTCTGAAAGGGGAAAAGAGGAAGGCAACTAGTTAGGGGCTCCAGTCTAGGGGAACAACATAGCAGCACAAGACTTCACAGTCCCCCACCAACCGAAATAGCAACTACTTAGTCACACAGCTTCCCTGAGAGACACTTCATATAGACCTGGCAAAACTGCTGGACCCAGCTGGTTGACCAAATAATTTTCTGCTGACCTCTCCCAACTGTTCCTCAGTCCTGGAGCTAAGCAGCATTGCGTATGTCTTTGGTGTTTGCAGGTGGTTTACATCGTGGAGAAAAAGCATTCCCGAGCAGCAACTGGCTTCCTCAAACTCCTGGCTGATAAGAACAGTGAACTGTTCAGGAAATATGCCCTGTTTTCTCCCTCAGACCACCGAGTGCCCAGAATATACGTGCCTCTCAAGGACTGTCCCCAAGACTTTGTGACCCGGCCTAAAGATTATGCCAATACACTGTTCATTTGCCGCATTGTGGACTGGAAGGAGGACAGCAATTTTGCCTTGGGGTAGGTGAGCTCTGGCAAAAAAACCACAGATCCCACACAGAACTTGGTTTAGGGGGCCTTTAGGTAAACTTTTTTGTTATATTTTAATTATTATTTCTTATTAAAACATGGGTACTTTACATATTTTGGTCCTGGTTCTTAAGAAATTGACCTTAGCTACCACCTCAAGTGTTCACCTATAGGTTCCTTGAATTGCGAGGCAGTCACCTTTTCGGTTTGTTTTTGTTTTTTTGACATAAAATATAAGCACATTCTGAACCTATACATACATATTTCCTGTCATGTATCCTGTTTGTATTTGTGAACTGCAAAGAATTCATCACATCAAACAATCAGACCCATCCTTTCAGACACTAGTGTTAATATATGCAAGTCAAGGCATATTCAAGGGATCCCGGTCTCCCATGTTTTAAATCTGAATATGAAGGGATGTTTGAATGATGTGCTTTTTTGACACTAATCTTCAGATTTTTCACTTATGGCATTAAAAACAAAATTACCTTACTGTAAGCAGGAAAATGGTACCATTTTTAAATGGAAGCTATCAGAAACCAATCTAACAAATATAGATTATGTGGTTGCAGGGCATCATGGATAGCCACTTTATTTTGATCTGAAGAAACTGCTGAACCCAGCTGTTTGATCAAATGCTGTGCCTGTCTTCTTATAATTGGTATTCAGTTTGAAAGAAAAGCAGTCTTAAGTTTTAGCTAAATCTTTAGCTCTTTATTATTGACTAGAGGCCCAATGCATGAAATTCATGCAAGGGGCTCAGCCCTTGCAGCCATGGCGGCTTGCCTCAGCCCTTGCAGCTCTGGCTTCGTCTGGAAGGTCGTTCGGCTGTCTGGTCTAATTAGCATATTATGCTTTTATTATTATAGGTGATGTCTGGTTTATGCTTCACAGGAAATGAAAATAAAAGCATACAAGTTAGAACAGAGTTTGTTCTGACACTTTTTGTCCATTTTGGTGATTTGCTTGTTGATCATCTAACTTGTACAGGATGGAGCCTCCTAGGAATGTTCTATGGTTATAAGTGCCAACACTGAATGGATGGCCATACTGTGCTGCTTTGATCAAGTTTATTCTATACTTAACCTCTTATGCCCAGTGAAGTAAGTCAGATCAAATCTGTATGTCATACCAATGCAATTTAAGAAGCACTATCCTATGCCACTCTTTCAGTGATATGAAGATCATCATGATTTATATGATCTCAGAACCACTCAGGAACAGTTGTACTTTCTTTTTTACTCTCAAGTAGTGTGATTGCAATGTCATCATTTTTTTAAGCCTAAATCATTATCCAAAAGTGACGTCAATCCCTTGAGCTCTAAATAGTCCTTCTCAGAGGCTTGCCAGTTTCTCACCATTAACTCGAAAGGCCCGATAGTAGCTGTGCCACCTGGCTTCTGTTGATTGTGGCTGCCACACTCTGCTTGGCAGTGAAAAGGGAAGCCTTTCACATCACAGCAGGAAATCCAGCCTTGTCTTTTATCTGCCTTTCTGTCACATCCCATTCTGTATACTTGATTGGACTTCTTCCTTAGTTTTCAAGTTGTAAGGGTGTAGTCAGGAAATCTTCGGGTGTGAGTTTCTCTTATTGCTCGAATGGCCTTGCAGGTTCCTTTTTTTTTTTTTTTTTTTTACAGTTGAGCCATTATTTCATCAAGATTTCTTTTTCTTGTGGGTAAAGTACACTAATAATTGAAAAAGGAATCAGCCCTTTAAAGCAGCAAGGACATTTGCTGAATATTAAGAAAGAATATTTAAAAATAATAACCATATGTTAATTATATTCTTTTCAAAATAAAAAAAAAAGGAAGATTCTCATACTTAGATGGAAAACTCTGCTAACTTTTCCTCTATTTTCTTACTATGAAGACATTAAGAATGATCTTTTATGGAAATATGCCTTTTAAAATCTTTGTGAAAAAGAGAAAATGTATCTGAAATAAAATATGGCAGGTTTTCATGATGCAGTTCTCAGATGACGTCTGTCTTCTAAGGGGTGTGGGCTGCAGCTGCTGAGCATGTTGGTGGTCGCCTTACCATTGGTTCTGGCTATCAGTTACTGATCTTTAGGAGCTGAGGTCACTGTTTCCTAATCAGAACATGCTGTGCTAGGACTGCCTAGGTCAGTGATGGCGAACCTATGAACTCATTTTTTTGGTTGATTTTTCTTTGTTAAATGGCATTTAAATATATAAAATAAATATCAAAAAATATAAGTCTTTGTTTTACTATGGTTGCAAATATAAAAAAATTTCTATATGTGACACGGCACCAGAGTTAAGTTAGGGTTTTTCAAAATGCTGACACGCCGAGCTCAAAAAGTTCGCCATAACTGGCCTAGGTTTTCTCTATCATCCTGGCCAGGTTTCTATCAGGAGTGTGAATGTAGTACTTGCTATGGGTGTAAATGTGTGTGGTTAGCTTCTGCAAAAACTGTGCCTAAAAACTGAGGTTAGCCAAAGAGGCTTTCTTTTGAATTTTCTCCCTGCCCCTACTTTCTACCCTTAGAAATATCAAACAACTTCTGCCTGTCTAATTGCTACTAATTATTCAAGTCCAAAGTCGTTTACTTCTTCTGTAGTTAAATTCAGTTCATGGGCAAGTGTTGATCAGCTCTGTGTAAGTCACTGTGCTATATTGTATGAGAAATAGAAAGGTAGAAAGCTATGGTTTCTTTATTCAAAGAAATTATAGCCCAGTGGTCGGCAAACTCATTAGTCAACAGAGCCAAGTATCAACAGTACTTCTTCAAAATAGACTTGCCCAGGCTGAAAACCGACTTTTGCGCATGGGCCATGAGGTTTCAATCGTACTGTATGTGCGGGCGTACGTGGTATTTTGTGGAAGAGCCACACTCAAGGGGCCAAAGAGCCGCATGTGGCTCGCGAGCCGCAGTTTGCCGACCATGGTTATAGCCTAATGTGGAAGGACTTGTACATAAATGTCACAGGATTAATTTGATTCCAAGAAATAGAATCCTAATTGAACTGGTTTAAATAAAAATGGTGATTATTATAAGAAACTGGTGGTCCTCCTCAAATCCAGGGCCAGAAGTATAGGCAGGTCTCATGAGGAACTCAGAACTAACAAGGCGGCAAAGGAATCACAGCTTCTCTCTCAACCACCCTGACCAGTCCAGCCACCACGTGGTATAATTTCTCTATCCCTTTCTACACACAAGCAGTATTATTCTGCTTCTTTCTTAACAGTTTCCACCTACCTACTCAGTACCACGCATGGCCCTAAAATGGTACTGCTGGGCCTCTGCAGGTCACATACCAAAGTCTAGATCACAATACAGAATTTCTGCGGTAGAAAATTTTATTGATCTAGCTTGAGACCATTATTTGCCCTGGTCAGTAGTTTTAACTAGAGGTAGGAGTCCAAGGTCCCATGACCTACTGCCCAGTGAGCATGGCTTTCCGTGCAGGAGTGTGGATACAGCAGATAGATTGAATGCTTATGTCTTTTGAGCTCTAATTATAGTATGAAAGAGAATGTTCTAAGTTCTTCTATAGGAACAAAATAATTTTCTGGAAGTTTAGAGGAGGTGGATGAAGGGAGAAATCCAGGATTGTTTCCTGGAAAATGGAAGCCTCCTTGCTAAAAGATCAGTCACTGAGAGCCTAGAGTGGATGGGAAGGGACATGACTGGAAGCAAGCAGTCATAATAGGCTTTTGCAATAAGATAAGAGGGGAGAACCTGCAGGAGAGGAGTTGCAATGAAGGAAACAAGAGAAAGAAAAGATTCAGGGGAAATGAAGAAGGTCAGTTCTCCCAGGCATGATGACCGATTACAAATGGGGCATGAAGGAAAAGGACAGAATCTTGGATGAACTTTCAGACTTCCAACTTGTGTGATTGGGTAGGTGATGATGGCATGTAACCACGGTTCTCTGAGAGCAACCTCAGCTCCCACCATTCCCTTCACTTATGCCTCATTGCTTGCTGTTTCGTTTCCCAACCTGACTGTGTTTGTTCATAGCTCCAAACTTTTGCACACTGCACTCCCATTCCCAACAGTGGCTTTCTCCTCTCCTCAGAGTTTATTTAGTGAAATACTCAATTTTTAAACTTTTATCAGTTGTCTAGTCGAAAAATGTTTCCTGACTCTAAGTCCTCCCTCTTGGGTGCTCTAATAGTTTCTAATAATACCTTTATTGTATCTCTCATCTGTTTGTATTGTAATTGCTTATGCAAGTTATTTACCTGGCCATGAGCTCCTTTAGGACAGGATACTGAGTGAACATTTTCTGGCTGATCAGATGGGTAGATGAAAATGATTTGATGACCCCTGACATTGATTAGGAAAATGTTGTACCATAAATCATGCTAGAATACATAGGAGAGGGTGTTTGGAACAGAAAATGATAAGGTTATATGATTTAAAAATCAACACTTGTTAACAACATACAGTCAGTATATAAATGTAGGTGGAGCTTCTAACTTAGAGTGTTTGTTTTTTAAATAAACCTTTATTGTTGAGAGTATTACATATGTCCTCCTCTTTTCTTGTCCCTATTGCACTCCTCCACCTGGATGCTGCCCTGCCTTAGGCCTCCACACCCTATAATTTGTGTCCATGGGTTTTGCATATATGCATATAAGTTCTTTGGTTAATCTCTTCCCGCCCCCTCTCTTCCCTTCCCTCTGAGATTTGTTAGTTTGTTCCATGCTTCCATGCCTCTAGTTCTATTTTATTCATCAGTTTATTTTGTTCATTAGATTCCTTGTTTGTTTATTTTGACTTTAGATTCAATTGTTGATAGAATTATATTTATTGCCACTTTATTCACATTTTTATCATTTTTTCCTTCTTCTTAAAGAAGACTATTCAACATTGATATATATAAAAGGCTAATATGCAAAGTGTCCTCTCGGGAGTTCGACCCAGAGACTGGGAGTTCGATTGCTCACTATGACATGTGCTGACCACCAGAGGGCAGTGTGGAATGAAGCAAGGCCCCAGCCGGCAGCTAGCAGTC